TAATGGTGCCTTCAAATTTGTATATATCACACGACGAGTATAGTATACCATTTATTTCAAATATAACAAAAATATATATATATAACAATAAAAAAGTGAAATAGATAAAAAAGTTTGTATGCTAAATTAATAATTTCTCAATTGAGAGATATAATACCGATCTGGCATGAAAATTAAGCTGAATGATGAAGCTGATATTAGCTAAAAAATCAGTTCAGTTCACGTAGCGCCATCTAGTTCTAAACTAAGCAAGGCTTCTGATGTAAGCACTAAACTACAGACATAAATACTTAACAAAGTTTTCTATAAATACATACATAATGTACATAGCAAATACAAGCAATCATACTCATGAGGAATACATTGAGATAATCGAACCTGCGACCATCGGAAGTTAGACTGTGTGATAAACCGCTAGACCAGCGAGGTATGTAACGATCAGAACTATTTTTGACATTCACTATGTACCTACAATGTGTATAACCACAAAATAACTACACTTTTGTATTTATATGAAATACTATCTTCAAGAAATCACAAACATTGTCACAAACTAACAAAATTTTACGTGGATTATAAAATAACAAATATATAATTTTTTTTTAGTCTAGACAATATTAATACCATATAATAAACATATAATTAGCACAAAACGATTAACACACTGCAATCCAATGTTAAATAACAGTACATTACTGACAAACAGCAATGAACATCGCTCTTTAGTTTTCCTCCAATGAGTTAGTCATTTCCTTTCCAACCGTTTTGATAAGCGCTGTAAATGTATTTTTTTAAATATATTACTACATTTCGGCAATGAAACATATGTTTATCTGTGTTTTATTATGTAGAGAAATTTATTTTAGTACCGTCCCGCCGCGGTACTCCCCGGTTACAAAGAAAGAATTTTAATCGAACTAGGTGTTATGTTGCAGAAGTCCATTGCGCTATTTATGGATTTATATTTTTTTTATATCCGCTACTGTAATGTAATGTACGTGGACCGACGATCTGGTTAAGATCGCTGGAAGGCATTGGATGCGAGCAGCGCAGGACCGATCGTCTTGGAGATCTTTGGGGTGACCTGTGTCCAGCAGTGGACGTCTTCCGGGCTGCGATGATGAATGTAATGTAATATAAACGTAAACTGCAACTGGGGCGGGGAGGGGGCTGCACGTACCTACACAGCAGCGCGGAGGGGGCGGGGAGGGGTCTGCACGTACCTGCACAGCAGCGCGGAGGGAGGCGGGGGCGGGGAGGGGGGCTGCACGGACCTACACAGCAGCGCGGAGGGGGGCGGAGAGGGGTCTGCACGTACCTGCACAGCAGCGCGGAGGGGGCACAGCAGCGCGGAGGGGGGGCGGGGGGCGGGGGCTCTGCACGTACCTGCACAGCAGCGCGGAGGGGGGCGGGGGGCGGGGGGCTGCACGGCACAGCAGCGCGGAGGGGGCGGGGGGGGGGGGTCTGCACGTATCTGCACAGCGCGGAGGGGGGCGGGGGGCGCTGCACGGGCACAGCAGCGCGGGGGCGGGGGGCGGGGGCTGCACGGACCTGCACAGCAGCGGAGGGGGGCGGGGGGGGGGCGGACCTGCACAGGCGGAGGGGTCTTCACGTACCTGCACAGCAGCGCGGAGGGGGGCGGGGGGCGGGGGGCTGCACGTACCTGCACAGCGGAGGGGGGCGGGGGGCGGGGGCTGGCGCACAGCAGCGCGGAGGGGGGCGGGGGGGTCTGCACGCCTGGCAGCGCGGCGGGAGGGGTCTGCCGGCACAGCAGCGCGGCGGCGGCGGCGGCGGCGGCGAGAAGCGCGGCGGGGGCGCCGGGCGCGGCGGGGGGGGAGGCGAGGCTGCGCAGGCGGGGACACAGTAGCCTCTCCACCACCACGGCTTCCTGCACGACCGACACCCAATATAATATATACAATAATTTCAAGGAGGGGGAAATGTAAAGTCATTTTCCTGAATATACAAAACACGTGAACGCTGTGTATAAAATAAGCGTTTTATAAAGAGCATGTTGCATAAGCATGCTTTAAGCAAGAAGTCTAATCATTAATGTTATTTATTTATTTAAACTGTACAAATACACGTGGTTCTCTTTTCTTTTTAATACAGAATAATATAATCTTACAAGCACGCCTATATATAACCGTATAATATAAGCGTGCTTTATTCTCACTAGCTTCTAGGTTATATTAACTAGTATCGTTATTTAATAGGAAACTTTTGGTTAGAAATCTTAAGATATACTTTTTGTAATTTAACGTCGAAAAGCAGTTATTTTCATTTAAAGCATTTAAAAAAAAACAGTCGTAATGACTAGATTCGATGATTAGATTTTTGTAAAATTTACATATTATAACATATTTTTAAATAGTGTATCGATAACTACAATATCATATTATACAATAGTGATTAATATAAGAATCATAAATATCACGTATTAATTTTTTCAACGTCACATTTACAATTTAAGTTTACCGAAATGTTATATACGCAATTGATTACAAAACACTATTAAAATAAATAAGCATTATGTAAGCATGCTTTTTATAATAAATTGACGTTCTTATATACCAATATTTACTTAAGGCGATTTTCTCTCGCTAATCTCTAAACGACAGGAAGCCTGATTTTACTAAATTACACTAAACTCTATACTCACTTGCGCCTTATCCACGTCGCACTTCTCTATGACCGAGTCTTCGGGCCCGTACAGAGTTCCGAGTCCAACCTGCCGCTTCACCTGGAACTCCGTGAGCTGTTGAGTCATTTCTTCTTTCGCCTTCTGGCGCGCCTTGCGGAACACGTTACGTAGAATCTCGTCCTTGTCGTATTCTATAGGCAATTAAATTAAAACAAATCAAGATTAAACCAGAATTTGTTACTTTACTTTTACTAGCTAACTCGCGCAACTTCGCCTTAATCACACTTACTTACCGTTTATTTATATTGTCAATGACGTTACATATTGTTATTTATAACTGTATGCAATCTCTTTGCTACATTGTATATTATTACTTTTAAGAAGAGATCATAGAACTCTCGAATTTTAAATATGTCATTCAATTCTTAAGTGAATCATTGGAGGGAAAATACAAATCCATTACAATAGTAGAAAGTCGTTTTATTCTCATAAGAACAAAAGGATAGTACAAACATTTATATTTCATCCAATTTATATATATTTTTTTAATTATAGCCTGTGTTATTCTGATGTATAAGCTATATTATTGAAGTTTCATCAAAATCCGTTCAGTAATTTTATGCGTGAAAGAGTAACAATCCATACTCACAAACTTTCGCGTTTATATTACTAGTCAGATTTTTTTTTTCAGGACAATTCAAACAGCGCCATAAAATCCCAAAGTAGAGCTTGTGTTATGGGTACTAATAATTGTAATAATGGCCTATAGATACGTCTGTTTAAACGATTTATGGTGTGATGATCCGTATCAAGAATTAAAGAGCATGATGGAAGATCGCGGAAAGTGGCAAGAGCTCCACCGACAAGAGCGTAGCTCTTAAATTATGAATGAATGCGATCCGTGAACAACTCTTTTCGTGGCTGTATAAACCGATACGAGAGCGGCATGGCCTACCACAGGCTCGAAGAGAGAAATTATTGTAAGTAGTCGGTACAGAGCCGCTTAGATGACGTTTCCATCTCTTGTTACTAGACAAGTAGTTAGCAAGTCTTTGAAGCCAGGCATCATAGCTCCATTACACGTTTGCGCCTATATATACATATAAATACATAGAAACATTTTTTTTTGTAAATACATTAGTATGGGTGTTATTTACGTATATTTAGTAATATACGTAAATAACACCCAGACAAACAGGCAACAAACAATCATAGACATGTATAAAAATGTTTGAACCGACAACCGGAATTGAAGTGGTGTACTAAGGTCGGTATGCTAAACCGGTAGACTACCAGGGCCGTTAAATGCATATCAAATCAAAATATCTTTATACATGTAGGTCTAAAACAGACTTATGATATTACTACTTGATAGATTTCTATTATTTTGTTTAATTCCGCTACAATTAACATGTGTGAGACTACGAATATTGGGTGTGGAAACCTGACCAGCGCTACGACCTTCTCCAGTGGCGATCAAATTCCGACCGTTATTGAGTCTACACCCATATCGCGACACGTGTTTCGCTTCTGAACGAGGCATCATCAGGCGTTAATTAAGAGTTCGGGTACAGCTCGGAATCCTAGTGTTGACTCATCGGCGACCAAACCGCGATCTATCTTATGATATATCAAATCTACTGTCAGTTCGGAGTGCTTTCGAGCTAAGAACTGACAGGTAACTCATTTCTTATTCTTTTAAAATCAACTTGTACATGATTACAATAATACAGATTCACTTCCAAACTCAATTCATAGAAATTCTAATGTATAAGCTATATTATTGTAAAGTTGCATTAAAATTCGTCCGTCCTACTCTGCTGCTTGTAGGGACTGGTCTGCTCTTATCACTACGACTGATTTAATCTTATTGTGTATTTATATTTGACCCTAATAAATTAGTGCTGGTTGGTAGTTTGTATTCACACGTTTCGACTTGTAAAATGTGAACTTACAAGGATTATTTAAAAGTGCAACACACGAGTTTCTTGCTCGTTCTTCTTGTGATGAGACAGCTTTCCGAACGAGCGGTAGATTAAAAAAAACTGTTATGACTATTGAAAAGTGCTTAAATTAAGTTTATTCGAATAAATGATTTTCTGTTCTATTCTATTCTATTCTATTCTATTCAATCAGTAGTTTTTACGCGACAGAGTAACAAATATTCATCCATCCATCCAGACTGACAAACCTCCACGTATATAAGTGACATTTTCCTTTAACATTCGTAATTCTTAACTTTATATACATTTATTAGTTATTTAAATAATATATATCATAATTATTTGAATAAATAACAACCGACCCCACAAGAATACACCTATATTTTAGGCATAACAGTTATTTATGGAATGTATCACACTTTTCCTTAAACATAGGACAACAATATCAATAAATATTGTCACAGTTTCAGGACAATTCATTCTCAGCTTCATTATATAGTATAAAACAAAGTCGCTGTCGCTGTCTGTCCGTCCCAATGTATGCTTAAATCTTTAAAAGTACGCAACGGAGTTTGACGCGGTTTTTTTTTTTATTCAAGAGACAGGTTTATATATATAATACATGTACAACCGTGCGAAGCCCGCGCGAGTAGCTAGTATAAGTATAAAGTTGCAATATTTATTTAAACATGTCAGGGTCACCCTGACATGTTGTACAACACTAAAACAATCCCTTATTTTACTGATAAGAGATTGTTTATTTTCGTATCTTTTGTTTTTCATATAATGGATTTATATTTAGATTGTAAATAAAACCCTGGAAGAAAAATTAAAAATCGATTCCTTAAGCCTCAATTATATGTGAATCAATTCATTAGGTTACAATTCAAATCAATTTGAAAGAAAGAAAGAAAGAAAGAAAGAAAATATTTTATTCAGTGCAATGTAAAAAATTTAAAATAAATCTTTCTCGGAAAGAATCGCCATCACTGCCATCACTATTTAAGACTCAAGACTGAACTCTACTAAACCTAGCGACATCACTATTTAGGATCTGAACTGTACTATATCTAGATATATCCTATAGGTAAGTAAAACTCAAGGATATTATTACTGGTAGAATAGAATAGAAAATCATTTATTCAAATAAACTTAATTTAAGCACTGGTATATGCATGTTTCCGTAATAAGAATAAGCTCACATGTCTGTCAAACTTTACCGGAAGATAGGGACGAGTTGTAGATGGCACTCCAAACCAAAGGAAGGACTTATGTTGCGGCTGAGGCCCAAATCCTGCCTGACGATTACGACTTTAGTCTGAAGGTACCGCTAGAGGTTCGAACCTCAGCTCAGACCGTCGTAATTTTGATCCCTATTTGAATTGGACGGGGGATCGATCGGAGGAAATATATGACAAAATGTTCTATGTGATATGATGTAATGCAAAAACATATTGCCATCGTGTTTTAGAATTTAGACACAAATGAAGCAACGCCATCTAGTTTCATTTGTGGAAGTATTAAATGCTACAATGATGACCTCGATGCACGAGCCATTTAGCACACCGCTTTACTTCCGATGGTCGCGGGTTTGATTCCTCGTACGGCACAAACATTTGTATTGATGAGTGTGATTGTTTGTATCGGTCTGAATGTTTTCTATGTATAATATGCATATTTACGAAAAATATGTATTTGTATCAGTTATCTAGTATACATAACACAGGCTCTCTCTTACCGTGGTACTATATGACGCCGTAGTAATTGTCCAGGGCTATTTATTTATTTATTATAATGAAACATGAACGTAAACACTTACCGTTAACTAAAACCTGTTCTATTTCATTAGCCATGTTCTCGTCCACGCCATTTAGTTGTAACACCTGCAATAAAATGTATAAATTTTGGGTAATCCAAATCTCTATATAAATGATTTCTACTAAATTAGTTAATAAATACAGATAACTTTGATGATACTGTGTATCACAGTGGTGGGAGCCCAGTTTCAATGAAGTTCTCATATTTTATAACCAAGCATAGCGCGCCGCCAGTGAGCGTACTCCCGCGTCCTTCTATCGAGCCGTGATTTAGCGCCATTTTATAATAACTATCACTGCAAAATGGCAACCATCAGACTATGCAAAGACATAATTAGATAGATAAATAGATAAATGATTCATCATTTACAATATATAATAGTTCTTAGTGCATTTTGGTATTGGTAAATTGGCAGTTTTTCTCACGAGGCTACAGCCTGGAGATTTTCAAGATGTGTATATTAAAGTTTCTTAAAGGTCGGCAATGCGCAGTAACACCCCTCGTGTCTGCGTCCATAGGCTACGGTAACTATTTACCATCAGATAGACCGTATGCTTGTTTACCACAATAGTAGTATAAAATACATAGCATACATTTTTTAATTTGTAAAATTTTTATTTTTGTATAATATAAATATCACAAATTAAAAAATGGAGGTGGCTTCACGTGTCGCAATATGAAGAGGCAACAAACTCAGCATGAAGCTACAGATAAATCTGCAGCGCTGATATTCTGTTAACTCCTATAATCCAATATATACACATATTATAAAGCTGAAGAGTTTGTTTGTTTAAATGGTAATAATAATCTCAGGAACTACTGGCTCGAATTGGAAAATTCTTATCCAACGATAGTCCATTTGTCGAGGAAGGCTTTAAGTTATATAACATCACGCTACGACCAATAGGAGCGGAGCTGCAATGAAAAATGTTACTCAAGAAGGAAACTCAAAAGGAACTCAGGCGAAGTTTTATGGTTCTAGAAGTATATAAGGAACACTTACCGCATTGGGCATGATGAAAGTGGAGTGTATCTCGTATGCCCAGCGTCTTAGTGTAGCATTGTTAACTGCGGTGGCGGCTCGGAACCCATCGGTTAGGACCAGAACTAGCGCCGCGTGTGCACTCCTGGAAACATATACCAATTTTAAATATCACTACTTGAATACTACTAACATCTATTGGGTTTATATATTACGTTTATTCATCCGTCATACTAATGAACAGGTGGCATTACATGCAACATATGCTGGTGGTCATATGCGCTGGATTCTACCTATTTGAATTTAAAAATAAATTAATTTATATTTTTGTAATCATGTAAACCTTATTTAAAAAAAAATAAGAGCTGAATTTCTTATCTGCCCTTCTTAGCTCGAAAGCACTCTGAATATATCATAAGAGTCTGTAATAGACCTACATAAATAAAATATTCGTAAGGACTCGTAATCGAAATACTTTAACTATTAAACAAAAAAAAAACATTAGAATTGTAATAAATACAGTAGAACTTGCCTCCTCTCTCCTAATAGCCAGTTGAGCAAAACAGCTGTTCTAGCTTTGGATTCTCGCACGGAGCGAAGATTCGAGAACAGCCCGGAGTATGTCGAATTATCCTGGACACAAAACAACAATAAGCTTACACTGACTATGTAGAATTGTCATATTACATACTAGTACTGTTCAGCAGGTACGCAAGTCGTTTAATTTAAAAGAAATGGCGGCCACCTCATCCCCATTAATCGGATTACACGACCCGCCTGTACCAATGCTTTGTTTTCATCCAGCTTTGATTCTGACCTTTTCTTTTTGTCGCTCTTAAGGGTCGTGAATTGCCTAAAAGCGGTGGGGAAGGGTATTGTTAGTAATGTGATAATCCTATTGCTATACCCCATTGCTAGCAATGTACCTGACACGAGTTTCCTCTAGAAACCATCGTGCTAAATTACCATTTTCCAAGTTGGCTAAGTGACCTGACTTCATTCTCAGTTTATCATCCTCCACTGGTGCCTTGCCAACGTAAACCGTTAGCGCAGGCGGATGCACCATACCATTATCATCCGTAAAAAATAGGCTAGAAGCTTCTTTAAAAATTGTGCAGAACAGAAGAATTTGTTCCTTTCATTTGAACTTCCAAATGAAACAAACAAATTCTATTCTATATATTAGTATACAGAATTCTAAATACATGGAATAATATGATTTATCTAGAGAGCAATTACTAGCAATGGCGACTATAGGCTATTATTATTATTAACATGCAATCAGGTGAGATTGCGGTCAAACGCGCTCAAATTATGATATAAAAAAAAATTCCGCAGGTATCCCACGTAGCTTAAATATAAGATGAAAAATATAGGTGATACTCACAGAAGCTGGCGAGTCATCTTCTTCCATCGAGATGATTGCCCTCTGAGGATCGGCGCAAGGCTGCGTGAAACATGATATGAATACGATGTAACTTAATATATGCATGAGATGACTTCTATAAATTATGCATAATACTTGTACTATGTATGAACAGACCCTTATATGACATGACTTCTATTACGTATGCATAAGATAACTTCCTTAACTTACGCATCATATGAGTTCTATAGTTTAAGCATAATATGAGTTCTATAATTTAAGAATAATATGAGTTTTACAATTTAAGCATCATATGAGTTCTATAATTTAAGTATCATATGAGTTCCATAATTTAAGCATAATATGAGTTCTATAATTTAAGCATCATATGAGTTCCATAATTTAAGCATCATATGAGTTCCATAATTTAAGCATAATATTACTTCTATAATTTACGCATAATAAGACTCCTATACTTTTAGATAAGCATCATATATTAAATAGTATCGTACTAATAATTATACGTCGGGATTTAATAATAATCTATTACCTAAACTGACATTCTTTGTAACGTATGTTTTAGACACATATTAATTTTAAAACAGCTATAATTATTGTTGTATATTTATGATCTTTTCCTGTTAATTATGGTCTGTAGTATAACAAATCGATAAAAACATAATGCGTGGTAATACCGAGGTATACAAGGCATGCATGTAGGCGTACCTGCGTGTTGGTGGCGTAGGGCGGCGGCGGCGTCCCGGGCGGCGGCGGGGCCGGCGCGGCGGGCGCTCCGCCCCACGACACCGCCTCCGCCGGCAGCGGAGCCGCCGCTGCGGGACCACACATCATACATTTAACTACTATTCTAAGTATATAATCACTTGTATTCACAGAAATCCTATACCATCTTATTACTGTTTCTTTTTTAATTTTATTTATGAAAAGCTTAATCTATTTATCCAATATATAAAATTCTCGTGTCACAGTGTTTGTAACAAAACTCCGCCAGGTCAACCATTTTCTTGATCGACTTTTATAATTTTTTTATGAGTATATTCAGTAGGTAGGAGAATAGGATGTTAACTATATGTCATACCCCTAAGTGATATATGTATTTATATCAGTTGTCTAGTACACAAGGTTTCCTTAGCTTAACACTAGATGGTGCTGTATGAATTATACTGGGTTAGTATTATTATTATTATTATAATACTGAATTAACTTAACAAAAGTACATATTTATGAAAATCCACCTTACAGTTTTAACTTTAAAATATAATTTCTTTTTTTTTTATGCTTTGTTTATACCCATTATTGTACTAGGTGTGCTATATATTCAATTTATACACTTACGTCGTTGTAATTCATGATCCAACTGTTCAGGAGACGACCTACTTCTCACGTGCAACACTGGCACGCCGGTCCTGTTATCCGTCTGTATATAAACACACATTTTATGAGCACATTCCTATATATATTGTAAAGTAAAATATACAACAAAAACGAAATCCAGCAGTATACAATGAAATTGTTACAACTAAAAAAAAGACATGGAAATAACATTTTTTTTTTGTAATCACAAATTTGATTACGTCATTGGATCGTTGTTAATTGGCCCACCAATGATGAATGATCAACTTTCTGCGTCTGAATGTTTCTTGATGGATTTCGAAATGTTATATACGTTCTGTTAAAACATCTAAGAAAATAAAGTCATCCGCACATTGCATGATATTATAAAAAATAATTGTTGTATTGTATTAATTTTTACTATACATCGTTTATTATTTTTAATGTACTATGCGAAACAATCACATTAATTTTATTATACCATTTATCTACACGTATGTTACCTTTTCACGACTAAATGTCCGTGCGGATCCTATTAAAATTTTCATGAAGATAACTATAAATCACTAGAACGGACATAGGCATCTTTCGTCTCAAAATAAACAGACGAAATCACGGGTAACTACTAGTATCGTTCTGTTACAATACAAGTTAAATGTTGACTTGTCGCTACTAAATCGCATAACATGCGGATGACCTATACAGAAATGTTAGTCACATATTGAAATGTTAACACATTTATGTTCAATTTTGAAACATATAAATAAATGTATGCAAGATTAGTTGTACTGGGTATACCAAACTAGAAGCTACTAAACTATTGGTAACTTATTATTAATACTAAATATTTGTTGGCAGTTTATAATCATATAAAATCTTAAATACGCTGAACAGCATTTATTTAAAAGGGTAACACGCAAGTTTCTTGCATGTTCCTCTTTGCTCTCCGAACGAGAGATAGCCTCGAAACATATTTATATGACTATATACACATTACATAACTATAACATATAACAGATTATATGACTATTCAAAAATGCTAATATTAAGTTTACTGGAATTATTTCTATTTCAAATGACACTTGAGAACTTCCTCTTTAAGCACTGATTATGAAGAATCTTACAGATAGGTTTTTTAGTCTAACAGAAGGTTACTAATCAGAACTAGACTTGGAGAATTAAAAAAATTCGTGCACCCAACAATAACCCGTGGTAAGCCGGGGCGTATGTCTAGTCCGACAATAATTTCAAAAACATACTAACTAGATCACGTAAGAGATTAAAAAAAAACATGAATTCAAATTACGTATTTGTTTTTAGGAGGGGGGAGTTGTAACATCAACTTTAAATTATAACTTTCACTGGCTTAGTACACCCACTACAACTAAACGTACTTATATGCGTATGAAATGGTAAATGTAAGATTTATTGTAACAATTGTATATATACTGGATGAAATTTTAGTAATTTAGTAAATTTAACTCACTGTTAACGCCTAATTAGGACTACTAAAGTAATTATCTAGTAATAGATAATTGTTAGACATTCTTAAATCAAGAAATATTCTGCTGTTTGTATTTATTCAGCTTCATAGTTAGTCTGTAACATAACAACTCAATTTAATCCCATTAAGACACAAGTCAGTCACGTATAATCCTCTTAGACCACTGACATATGATCAATCCGGCCTCAGAAGGACCAAATTCGATCAATGTTCCAACTTGGCTCTAATTGGCGGATTCAGTTGCTACGCCCCGCCCTCCCCAGAGACCAACCAATTGGAACGTTAGTCGCACTTGAGCAATCTGACGACAGATCGACTTTATATTGAGAGAATCTGTATAGCTAATAAGCCAATATATTCGTTTAACTTGAGGTAATTATACGCTACATATAGGACCAGCTTACAAAATCTCATCAAGGAAAAATTGCCCGTCCCGACAACCTAGGATATATTGTACTGACGTCGCATATTTAGAGAGCAGACCTCATACAAAGTAGGATCCAAAAAAGAAGAAGAAGATACGCAACATACCTATACAAGAATACAGTAAAATCATTACAGTTGTCAAGCCATTCGACATATAGAAAGAAAGAAAGAAAGAAAGAAAGAAAGAAAGAAAGAAAAAAATATATATATATATATAAACATACTTTCCAAACTTATCTATACTAAATGAAATTACTTGGTAGTCTGAAGTAGGCGTTATGAATATTTATATAGAGTAGTATCGTTTTGAAGAATCTTAAACACAAATCAATCTATACTGAAATGTTGATAATAAAAATCTTTTCAACAAGCCATCTTTTAGAAGACAAGTTTCAATTATGATAAAAGAAATTTCTGTCTTTGTTACATACAAAAAAAAAAACATCATCTAAATGTAGCCCTTTATTGATTAAAATTGAACAGTAGAAGCGAAGCTATTTGAGTGTTTTGTCCCTTTCTTTCCTGAAAGAAAAGGGCAAAACAATTCATTAAATAAAAATAGATTCCTTATACGTTTTGTGCTTTTATAAATAAAGGAATTGCTCCATAATAGTAGTGTGGTTTATGGGAGTACCATGGATTAAGTGTTTTGTTGAAGGAATGGCATTAGTTGTTTCCGAAGTTAAGTCAAGTAATGTGTATGTAATAGAATAAATTACTGTGTAAATGAAAGCTGTAACTTAGTTAAGTTATGACGGTAGCGTGAATTGAGATTTGCATAAAAATATTTGGTAACTTTACAGTTCTAGAATTATTGTGTTAACGTGCTTAGTAAGTTGTGTGAATGTGTTCATTTATACATGTAGTAAAATATAACTTATACAATACAGCATAAAGTCCAAATTAAATGTATATATGTAAATGTATTGAAGTAAATATACTGGTATATTTACTTCAATACATTTATACAATTGTACATATTGAATAAAAAAGAAGCTCGGGTCTAACAAAAGATAATTAACCCAAATAACATAACAGACAAAAGCGTAATTAAACAAACGAACCACCACCAAATAATATAGAATTTAGAATTCTATTTACGTCTTTGTCTTATAAATATCTAATTATAAAAAAACGACAGAGACAACAACATTACTCATCTCTTTCTATCTGCGTGTAAGAGTAAGGGACAGCGCTATATATTGAAACAACTTTACCTGTAACGGCGGCGGCGGGACATTCACCAACGGATAACTCATTTGCAATGCGATCGAATTAGGTTGGGGCCCATCCAAGTCGCCGTCTAAGGAATGTGACGACCTCCTGAATTGTTTCTGGTGTTCATCATTGTACGCAGGCATGGACTGGTGCATTGGGTACTGCGGTTTCTCTGGATAATACCGTCCTTTGTAATACTGTTTGTGCATTGGAGATATCGAACTGGAAGGCTTTGGTTTCGCTAACGGGTTTATTGGGGGACTTAACGGGGTTCTTTTGGGTCGTTCGATGGATCTTGGGGGTAGAGGTGGGGGCGTGACGTTATCTAAACACGTCGTCGGCACCATCGGTACGGTATTGTTGTGTACATGCCTCCGTTTGTTATTTGACTCGTCCGAGTTCTGCCTCACAAGTGGCGGTTGATTTTCTTGCTGTATCTTGTTATTCTGCTTCGCTTGCCGCAGATTGCGTAAGCTCTGGCCCGTCAAATTGCTGAGTGAGCGTGGTAGGCCGCTTAGGAAGCCGGTGTTTTGTACTGGAGATGTTTTATCGTTGTTCTTGATGCGCGTGGCTAGGCGGGGTGTTGCTGGCATGAACGCCGGATGTGACGTAGTCGTCTCCATAGGCTACCGGTAGAGGTTATTTGTAAGCGGTGACGTCATTGCAGTATTATGCGTGCGTTCATTGTGGAGGTTTGCATGTGTTGAAAGTGTGCGTGTGAAGTATATACAAAGATTTTTTTTAAGTAAACAGTAAATTACATTTATTCACATAGGACCTTATAGCCACTTAAGCTCGTAATATTTTTTACTAACATTAACTTTGTTACCTTTTAAGAAACTCAATGGTACATTATTATTGTACATGTTTTTCATCAGGCTCTTTTAAATCATTGTACATCATTAATACCTACAGATTGTGAAGTGAGATGCCCATATATTCGTTTATAGTAAAATTTTACGAAGGTATTAGGGACTTGTAATAGGTCATTATTGTCCCTATACATACAATAATAAAGCACTAACCTGTCAAATACATTATAGGTTTTAGGACCTTGTCCCGAACCTTAAACCCAGTAAGTTAATATATTTGTATATTATAACTATTGAAAATCTCTATTCCACATGGTATCCAAGATTTATGGTCCTTCGAGTCGGATTCTTCTATGACTCGTGCAGAACTATAGCTTATATGTACTTTATAATTTTGTGCACACATTTACTTTCACAAATTTTATGGTCGAACCGGATAATCACATGTATTATGTTTGTTTGAATGTTCAAACCCCCACAACCTACATTGTACTGTGTGAGACTGTAATATTGCAATGTTTTGTACATAGTTACAACCACACCCATGGTGAGGCGAAAGTTCATTACTGAATGTTGGACTGTTTCCTTGCATGTTGTCTCTCTGTTCCGTTGAATTTTCAGCTTATAATTTTTATTACCCAATTAAAAATAAAACAAATTTTCGACTCCATTGCTTTAGAACGCCGATATAAATATCTTTAGTCGCTTGTTTAATTTCCGGCACTAGTTTATTACTATAATATTTGGAAATATTTGGAATTTAATCATCCAATGTATTTCTTTATGCACTAAAACACAAACCTTACTGTGTTTCTTCCGTATTGTGTAGGTAGTAGTTTTGCTCTGCCTACCCGGTAAAGGGCCTGGCATGAAGATAGACTAGAAACCTTCAAATGTCCATTATATACTTAACATGCTAATATAAAAAGGTACATATTATAAAAAAAATGAGACAAAACCAAAATGTACTGAATAATTAACGTCACAGATAAAACAAACAAGCGTAGAAGCAGACACGTTAAGAAACATGTATGTTGAGGTTATTGACCCGTGATCAGCCCCGTTAGGGTTGTTAGTTTCAAATTATCACCATGAACTTATGGAATGTAACAAAATTCACTTTCGCCTCTTTACACTTGTGGCACAAAAAACTACACTATTTTTATTTTAATAATAAATTAATAATAAAACCAATCAATTACTGTCTCGACAATTAATTATAAACTATTAAGGTTTATTTATTATTTAAATTTACATATACATACATATTATTATTTTAACGAAATAGAATACATATTATATTAACAATATTTTACAAAGTAAACATGTATTATTAAAAAAATATAAATGAAAATGTTGCAAAAAGAATATATTTTATTTTTGAACTTTCAAATAGTAAAACATCATTTATCAGTGCTGTAAGATATTCAGGTAGGAGTTTCTATAACCTTATTTTATTTTATTTATGTACTTATTAGTACAGTAAACTACATATTTTATTCCAGTCCTCTTTTTATGAGATTCATAATCACGAATTGTCAAAACATAACCTACAATATAATAATTAAACACAGACAATTATTGAACAGTTTTTGTGCCGCAGATGTAAATATATGATATTAAATAAATAGTGAGATAGACAAGAAATAAAAAAAACTGCAAAATATTAATAACTGCAGTTGCAAAATATAACGACGTGAAATAATTCAAAATAAAAATGTATTCACTATTGTTGCAATTAAGTGTAATCGACTTTGAGTTCTATCTACGTATGAATTTCACTGGCTACTGTTTTTAGACATTTTATATTACACTTAAGCATATTGAAATTGTAATTAATTTAAGTGTAATAAAAAAAAGACAATAAGCCAGTGTATTTTTGCTACTTTTAAATGTAATATCAGATTTATACTTTTTGCACCTCAAGTGTATGAAAAATGGATAGAAAATGACAAGTTCCAAATTTAAATTTATTATACATACAAAGGTATAGATCTAATATCCACACAACCAATTCGAAATGGACTTTATAAATATGACGTTAAGATGCAATTTTCACCTGTCCACAAATGTATAAATCTAATATCCACACAATTAATTTTATATGGACCTTATACATATGAGAATAAGATGCAATTTTCACCTGTCCAGCTTTGATGACGTCGATTTCATGTTTCACCTTGATGCACCTCTGCTCAGCCAAATCCAACTGTGCTTGTTTTCTTACATCTGGCACTTTTGATAGTTCTACTGAAATGTGAGATAAAAAACAATTTATACTAATATTATAAAGCTAAAAATAATGGTTGTCTGTAAGAGATTGCTTTCAGCGATAAGGCCGCCTTCTGTTTAACATAATAAAGCACAACAAAGAGTTATATAATTATTATGAAGTTTGTCAGTTTGAATGCACTACACACATACACACACAATATTATGAACTCACTGGTAGTAATGGAAAAATTATTAGACTGTTGGATTGCCCAAAAATTTAGAGAGGCTATATAACATTACGCTACGACCAATAGGAGAGAAGCATCAATGAAAAATGTTAAAAAATTGAGAAAATTAAATTATTATTTCTAATAAGATTCTCTCTCTTCTCTCTCTATCTACATACAAAAAGTATCATATTTAATTAATTATGAAAACATATTATATAGTAGCATAATTATATCCGAGAAATCGAACCCTCGTCCGTCGGAAGCAAGGCGATGTGCTAAATCACAAGACCATGGGAGAAAATTAAGTGAGTACTTACGCCGCAACTGCTTTATGTACACTTGATCCTCATCAAGCATCCGCTGCATGGTCTCCACTTTAGACACCTCCAGTTCGCGTTGCTTTTCAGGCTGAAATTCGAGATAATCAGAAATTATTATTTTTATAATTAAACAACCGCTCAAATACGTGAGATAGAGTACCCATCCAATTTATACAGTATCACTCTGGTAAATACATACATATATAAAGAATTTGTATCTTTTTATATGCTACAACGGCCCATCTGATGGTAAACATTACAGTTACCGTAGCCTATGAACGCCTGAAACACCAGAGATGTCACTTGCACTTTGGTGATACCAACCCTTAAGAAACCTTAATATACCCTTCTCGATAACCCGATGCTATAATCACTAGAAACCTCGACAAAACATCACCTTTTTTGTCGTTACATTAATAAAAAATAAACTATAACGCCAGAGAACTAAGATGTCATACCTTTGTACCCTTTAATTCCACTGCCACAACTCATAATTCATCACGTGGATCCCCTAGAAACCATCCTGATGAATTCCTGGTGAATTCGTCACTATGAACCAACTTACCCGACCTCATACTCATTTTGCAGACGGGTACACCATTCCTTTATCATACATAAAAAAATATATATTTTAATGAATTTGTGCCTTAAATATAGATAATGAAGATTAAACTTACATTGACAGGAAACGGTGCGGTAATAGGTCTTTTATGGCGGGACGTATTCTGTTGAACAGTTAGGACGGTTTTCTTATTAGCTGAAAGAAGAAACAGATCTATTAAAATTATTCAAATCATGTTTTGATGTAATAAAAAAATATATATTTTAATAATAATAATAATAATCTAGTGAAGATTCAAACAGACATCTAGACAAGGAAACGCTAGCTAGAGCTTGTGTTATGGACGTATAGATAACTGATATATATACATAGACGGTTTTTTTTTTTTTTGTAAATACATACACATTATACATAGAATTAAAATTATATACAGATCAAGTACATTTTTTTAAGTAACTGGAAAGCTCCAGTAGTAACAATGGTAGATGAACAGTCCATATAATCTGTGTAACAAACAAAGATTTCTTTTTTATTATTTTATATACCTTTAATATGTAAAATCATAAAAAAGAAATCTTCAAAATCACACTACAAATAATAATTATTTTAAAGTTTTTTTAAATTTACTACAACAACTAATTAAACTCGATAAAATTTTGTCTATAGGATAAGACAACTAATATCAACATTTCTCACTAATCAAATTTTTTTAACAAATTTCTTTATTTATGATATATATCTTATATATAGATGGCCTTGAATAGCTAACATTGTCAATTATATATAACAATCTTAATTTAGTATTATAACTGAAAAACACGATATTCAACAAAAATGACCTATCTTTAGCTCATTCGCCTTAAGAATCCAAAACAATAGTCGACGGCCTCGGTGGTCTAGCGGTCTAGCACACCGCTTTACGTCCGATCGTCGCGGGTTCGATTCCTCGCACGACACAAATTCTGTATTCATGAGTATGGTTGTTTGTATCGGTCTAGGTATTTTCTATGTATAATATATATATACGAAAAAAAATTATCTATGTATTTGTATCAGTTATGTAGTACCCATAACACAAGCTTTAGTTAGCTTAACTTGAGTCTAGATGGCGCTGTGTGAATTGTCAAAAAAAAAATATAAGAATTAAAAAAAATGCGCTAGGCTTTGGAATGTAAACATGGCGAATACTAAAGAATACGTACACCGTAATTTCATAGCGCACACACTCTCCCCTAAACATTGGTTTTCCATCTGCAGTATACTAACCTCGTATCATCTGCACGACTTGCTGGTGTGTGTGATTGTGGACGGCCACCGTGTCAACACAGAGGATGCGGTCGCCGGCTCGCAGACCAGCTCGCCAGGCCGCGCCATTCTCCTTCACCGACTGGACATACACGGGGTTGTCACCTGGAATTTAAATAGACAATACATCAATCAACAAGCGTGAACAACTCACTCCTTCTCCTCAAGTCATTTTCCTCATTCCTGTCCCGAAGAACACGTGGTGAGCGAATTTTGTCCATCCATCTTTTGACATCAGGGGCTAGTCAATAAAACAACCAACAAACCTGAACAACACACTCCTCCTCAAGTCGTTACCCTCATTCCTGAGGATCGTGACAGCCGGGCAGAATTACTTTTTCTCTGATAAGTCCATTCTCCCCTCCATCTGTGTCGGTCTTTTGCATAATGGAGAAGATCATGGAACGTGGTGTCCATTGATGAGCGAATTTTGTCCGACTGTCTTCCGATAGAAATAGAAAATCATTTATTCAAATAAACTTACATTGAAGCACTTTTGAATAGTCATTACATTTTTTTTATCTACCGCTCGTTCGGAAAGCTGTCTCATCACAAGAAGAACGAGCAAGAAACTTGCGTGTTGATATCATGGGCTACGGTCCTCTTCCTGCTTCTCAAGTTGTTTTCCTCATTCTTGAAGCCGTGACAACCCCCGCAGAAGTGTTATTTTACGGAAGTCTATTTCATTATTTAAATGCATTATATTATTTTGTTAATCCCACTACCGTTACCCTTTTTGAGATAACAAATATTCAGTGTGAAAACCTGACCATCGCTACAGGGAGAGTTGCCTTCTACATTGGTGATCAAATTCCGACCGTTCTTGAGTTTACGTCCATATTACGATACGTGTTTCGTCTCTGAATAAAACATCATCAGACATTGGTATGTGATCGGATATAGATTGGAAATCTATTGTTGACTGTTCGTCGACCAAACTGCGACTCTTGTGTTTAATGTTGTAGTTTGGTCAATTCGCAATAATAATATAATCCCATTAATTAAAATATCAATCGTCTCAAAATGTATTAAAATACTAACATATCCTTTCTTAGAAATGAACGTGAGAATATGTCTGTATATCTACACCTACCACCGTTACTACGAAACTGGCCAAATGTACTGAGGAATTCCGCACATCTAAATTTAAATGTAACTATGTATTAAACTATTTTCACTATATTGTATTGAAATGTATGTGTACAAACTACTGTATGTGTACAAAATAGTACTTTATCATATTCGTTAGTGTATTTTGAGGACATTTCTCCATTACCAACGAGTTCATCCGCGTGGAATTAAAACAAATAAAATTTCTAAAATAAAAGTAGCTTAAGTTACTCTTTATAATATTAGCTATCTGCGAGTGAAAGTCCTATCAAAATAGATTTTGGCCGTTTCAGAGAGATTAGCGGAACAAACAGACAGACAATTTTTTTTTTTATAAACTTTATATTGATGTAAGAACCGTATTTACGTTCATATGCATTTAGTTAAAAACTATTAATTTTAAATTAGATATATTATATATTATATTTATAAATTAGACATCGTGTCATGTCATCATCTGGTCAGCTGGTCATGCTGGTATCATTGAATTCTCCTCACTGTCCTCCTTGGTGACAAAACTCCTCTCAATTTGTCTCTATCTGGTACGGTTTTTGGCTGTACAAGAACATTGCACAATGAACTAGACAATGGAGTATTACCCAAACAAACTCATCTTTACTTTGCATAGACGCAAATGAGTTTACTGGTCACCTGATGGTAAGTGTTTATCACCATAAACACCCGCAACACCAGCAGAATTGCAAGTGCGTTACCGGCCTTTTAAGAAGGAATACGCTCTTTTCTTGAAGATTTCAATATCTTATAATAAGATTATGACATTCAAATCTTACCGGACACTTTCATTCCGTAGCCATGTTCGTCGGCCACTACGGTCACGCAGAGAACATCGTCGCCACCAGGCGACGTCGCCCCGCTCAACATCACCTGCAACAACAGAAACCAGAGGTCAGAGCTTTATTCTCATCTATCTATCATCCGTCATACTCGTGAACGGGTGCTGCTTGTGGAGACTGGTTTGTTTGGGTTACGAATACTCATTAGACTATTTGCTTTTGTTTTTGCATACGCTGATGGTTACTCTATTCTCCCAAATTTGAATTAAAAAAAAAATTGTATTATTGTAAAAATTTCAAACATTTATTTGAAAAGGATACGAGCTGAATTTCTTGGCAGTTCTTCTCATCTCGAAATAATTCCGAAATAACGGTAGATTTGACATATCATAAGAGTCTGTAATAGACGTACATGAATAAAGATATTTTGAATTTGAATTTATTGAGGTACTGTTTAAAAGGGCATCTTCAATTGAAACTATAAAATGTATAATATATAAAAAATATTATACATTTGCTGATGATATGCGGTTTCACCCGCGTTAAATTTCAATATAAAATATAGCATGTGTTATTCTGATGCATGAACTATATTACTGTAAAGATTCATCAAAATCCGTTAAGTCGTTTTTGCATGAACGAGTAACAAACATCCATCCATACTCACAAACATTCGCGTTTATAATATTAGGAACATATTTGACGACCTCGGTGGTCTAGCGGTCAAGCACACCGCTTTAGACCGATGGAAGCGGGTTCGATTCCTCGCACGGCACAAACATTTGTATTGATGAGTATTATTGTTTGTATCGGTCTGGGTGTTTTCTATGTATAATATGTATGTATTTACAAAAAAAAATCTATGTATATGTATCAGTTATCTAGTACCCATAACAAGCTTTAGCTAGCTTAACTTGGGTCTAGATGGCGCTGTGTGAATTGTCCTGAGATTATTATTATTATTTATTATACTTGTTATACGGTATTATGTTTTAGTATTGGTAATGAACAATATTCTATGATCGAAGGCACAGCCTGTTTATAATCAGTTACCAGAACTTACGTGACATACATACACTTGCCAAATTTTATACATATAATTGTTCTTGCATTAAAGACATGTGCAATTAATTATCGCGCATCAGTTTCACGTATTTCGATGTTATCGTAGCCTCAAACAAAATTAAGTACTTGATGATTTATTAAATCTATGCTAGGTATTAGAGATTTGTCTGTTATTATACAAGCCCGAGGATTTTCTTGGTAGAAACATTTTCGATTCAGGTATATTTATATATGTTCACTATGATGTAAGTATGAACTATAATACACAAATTTCTTTTAACCTATAAGGCACCGCGTTCTAATGGTTCAATAGCAACCATTAGAAGTAAGGCGGTGCCTTATTGATTGATGACGGTATACCAAACCGAAAGACCATGCAGTCCGTCAAAAAATCCCATAATATAATATAAACCTATACACCGTCTAAGTTTATATTTAAAGCTTACAAAATAGCAAACAGTGTCATCTCACACAGCTCCCGCATTACATACATATATATAATAATATACATAGAAAACACCCAGACTAATACAAATAATTGTGTATATTCGACCTGAACCCGCGACCATCGGAAGAAAGACTGTGTGCCAAATCGCTAGACCACCAAGGGCGCCAAAATACGTTTTTTTTTAAACACTGGACAATTAACACAGCCCCATCTAGTCCCACATATATTTTTTTTAAATACATACATAATATAAATTTAAAACACCCAGACCAATATAAACAATCATAATCATTAATACCAATGTTTGCACCATTCGAGCAATCGAATCCGCGAACAGAAGTAAAGCGGTGTAAATCCGCTACACCACCGAGGCCGTCTTCATTATCATTACCACAGATAACATAATATTACATACAGATACCCCATCCCATACAAGAAAATGGTTCCTTCCTAACTCGGGCTATTCTTCGGGCTATTTTATTTCGCCACCGTAGCCGCTAGATGTCGCTAGATCTGAAGCAGTTCGGATTACTAGTGGGTGCTTAGTAACAAAGCATGAAAATAGATGGCAGTCAATTCAGTCTACATGACATCTGTTTTGCAAAGATATTTATATAATAGATATGTAGGTAACTGTATCGTGTACCTCATTAGGGACGATTCAAGATTCAATGTAAATGTGTAGGTATAATATCGTTAGCCGACACTCTGCAGATATGGCTTATGTGCCAATGTTTTGTGTTATGGTTTATTTTACATTCCATGCCTATTTTTTTTGATATGTTGTAACGCGTCTGCGCTATACGTATAGCCTGATTTTGATACGTTTATACTCGTACGTATCAAAATCGGGCTATACGATTTTTTTATTTCAATCGTTATATGTATGAGACTGATTTTAGCTACAATTAATTTACTGGTATATACCTCATGTATTCTACGATGTACCCCTCTTTTACCTAATGAGAATTCCGCTATATCTTATATATAAATTTTGTATCACAGTGTTAGTTGCCATATTTCTCCCACATTTTGATGAAATTTGATATGTATACTTCCCAGGTCTGAGGTAGGGTTGTTATCTATTTTTTATACCCCTAAGTCATAGGGGTGGCCTACCCCGAAAAAATATTTTTTTGTATTATGGACAATTTTTTATGTATTTTCAATGTAACATTATTGTTACATTGAAAATACATACACGCCTAAATTTTCACCCGTCTTTCACCAACCCCTATTTTTAATAGCGATATTCTTACAAATATTATAAATGCTAAAGTAACTCAGTCTGTCTGTTTGTCTCGCTTTCACGCCAAAACTACTGAACTGATTTAAATGAAATTTGGTAGACAGATAATGTAGACCCTGAGAAAGGCTACTTTTTAATGCGAAAAAGTATTGAAAGGGGAAATGAAAGGCTATATGAGGATATCGTAATTTTTAAAGTCAGATCTTGTAAGATTAAGTGAACAGGGTCGGTCTAGGTTTTTCATTATTAGAAATGTGTAACGGGGTAACACGTTATTTAGTGCGAAATTGTGTATATTACAATAAAATTTAACGAGAAAATATTATAATGATATCACTGGGACACTCATTGCCTTACTACTATATCGTCCGTTAGTCGCGAACTTTCGTGTTTCCAACACGAGAGGCGCTATCCTATTGGTCGGTCGGCGCGGTTACCGCGCGTAGATGAGTAGATGAAGTCTCACGGCGCCGCAGCGTAAGTACTTACTATACATACATACGTAGTATACATATGGGTATTACAAATGTTTTTATTACTAGTAATATTACTCTGTTATCTAAGCAAGTAATGTGTGCTTATTTTGAACTTGATAACATTCTGAATTACTCGTATATCTTTCAATATCTTTAGCGGTATAAACCAGGTTATGTACTACTACTAGTATTGTTAGTGAGGGATAAAGTTGATGAACAAAAATAAAACAATATTCGTATTAAAAATATATTCATCTAATATTTTTGGCATTATTTTTAAGTTTCTTCCAAATATAAGGGGTCTGACATGGGGTGTTATGTACCTACATTAAAAAATACTTTTTGAAATGTATGAAAGAAACGTATTGTATGAAATTTTTGAAATGTGTGAAATGTATGCACCTACATTAAAAGATAATTTTTGAAATGTATGAAAGAAATGTATTGTATGAAATTTTTGAAATGTATGAAATGTAAGGACCTACATTAAAAGATAATTTTTGACATGTATGAAATGTATGAAAGAAATGTATGTACCTACATAAAAAGTTCATTTTTGAAATGTATGAAATGTATGAAAGAAATGTATGTACCTACATTAAAATATAATTTTTGAAATGTATGAGATGTATGAAAACAATGTATGTACCTACATAAAAAGTTCATTTTTGAAATGTATGAAATGTATGAAAGAAATGTATGTACCTACATTAAAAGATAATTTTTGACATGTATGAAATGTATGAAAGAAATGTATGTACCTACATTAAAAGATAATTTTTGACATGTATGAAATGTATGAAAGAAATGTATGTACCTACATTAAAATATAATTTTTGAAATGTATGAGATGTATGAAAGAAATGTATGTACCTACATAAAAAGTTCATTTTTGAAATGTATGAAATGTATGAAAGAAATGTATGTACATTAAAATATAATTTTTGAAATGTATGAGATGTATGAAATACAATGTATGTACCTACATTAAAAGATATTTTTGACATGTATGAAATGTATGAAAGAAATGTATGTACCTACATTAAAAGATAATTTTTGACATGTATGAAATGTATGAAAGAAATGTTTGTACCTACATTAAAATATAGTTTTTGAAATGTATGCACCGTACAATAACAATACACGTTAAACATCATACCACAGAGTCATACGCAAGTTAAAAACAAACTGCTATGATATTAATGAGAAAGGAAAATAAACTTTATGGTATTCGAGTTAGGGTCGATTTCTCTCTTTTTTTAAAACTATTTTAATCTTACCAGTTGCCAGTATTCGAAGACAGCTACGATTCGTACTCGATATTTTAAATTATTATGTAATCGATTTTTCAGTACAAATGTAAATAACCAACGACACTAATAATGTACTACTATATTCCGTTCTTTGAAACGGAATACTGCTATACTTAATACAAAATAATGAAAATTTACTGTTCACAACGACTCATTAAAAGCATCATCGAATAATGCGCTGTAATAAAATCCTGTTATCGATTATTAAAAAAAATCGATAATACATGTATTTATTTTTAATATGACAACACTTCATACATAAGTATTATTGGAAATAGTATTATTTGCTTGTTCGGCTATTTTTAATTTACTTAAACTTTTTTTATATGTTTAATTTACAATAATAATATATTAAGTGCTTATTATTGGAAAATATAAAAAAGACATTTAATTAGGCCGATACAAATGACAACAATGCCATCTATGAAAGCATTTTGAAAACATTGAGCCCCGTATTAGCACTGATTAAAGTGTAATTAAGTACTGGAAAATAACAAAATGAGTAAATATATGAAAATTACTTTTCTAAACGCATTATTT